TTGGACACTTTAAGCACTGGGGTGCTAGGGAGGGCTTAGATAGAGCATACTGCACAGTACCTTGCAACCAGCCATTTTGCAAAGAAGAAAAAGACATGCCTCATGGTTACTTATTCTGGAGTATCCTTTTCTTTGTTCTCATAGTCAACTTAGTTTACTAACGCATACTGAAATATTCCTTTTTTGGGATTTAGCATGTGTACTCAATGTGGAAGAATGATTGTTGTATGGGGTTTGAGAGGACAAGTCGCTCACTCAGGGTAGCCCCTTTGATCATAGTTATTTGCTTCCACACTCAGGGTAGCCCCTTTGATCATAGTTACTGTATTTGCTTCCCCTTCATGGGAATGTTGTTGCCATTGTTTAATAGAATACAAATATGTCATGAACTTGGGGGCACAGCAGATGAGAACTAGTATTTTTGGGAACATTCTCCACATCTATGACAATTTTTGAAACAGAAGTTAAACACATGTTTTGTTACTTCAGAGGAAAATGATTTTTAGTCTGGAAGTGGACCATCTAGTACTTGATTGCTTGGCACCTGGCATGCTCTGGTTGCTACCCCCTTTTTGTTTATTCCTTTATTGCTAAAAATTCTGACTAAGGAATTTTAACTTTGCTACTGGGCATGAGCTCTGTCCTTACAGGATGTTTCAAAATGTCAGTCATTTCCACAGAATCATGTCTCTTGATGCCTGTGTGACTTCAACAGTTTCACTCTCCTGCCAACTTGCACTAGGTTCCAACATGCTGTTTCTTCTCTCCTTCCTTGCTAGAAATTGTGATGGCAGCAAACAGTTTGTTATCTTCTGGGTTACTAAAGTACTAAAGATACAATAAGGAATTTTTTTCCTTAAAAGTAAGGGTTGTACATGACAGACAGTGCAATCAATGGGAGCCATTTATCAAGAATGTACAAGCAGTCTTCTAGGGAGGCTTCTGTTGACATTTCAGAATACCCCCTTGAGAATTCTTCAAATACACCAGACCTGTCAAAAAGGTTCCTGAGAAATTTCGCAAAAAATCAAAATGCTGCTGAACCCTTCCTTCCAGTAGTTCCTCAAAGAGACTTGTTTAAACTACTGCTTAGCCCAATGAAACACCAAAGTGTTCACAATGCCTGTGAAAGCTTTATTTTCTGAGCTTTAAGGAAGTCAGTAAAAAGGAAAAGGAGGGAAGAAACTCTGGATAAATACATATCAAAATCTTGTGCTTCTGACAAAAGCCTTTATTGTGGTTGAGCCTCTAGTGAAACAGTATCTGGTGCATATGCCATAGAGAATATGATGAATTCCCACAGGGCTTTGTGATGCTCTTCACTGAAGATTCAATGTTTGTTTCTATCTAGCAGGAATCTTTCTCTTAATCGTGGTTTGAACTGGTCATACAGTCTCATTTCCTTCCACACCACAGTAGTTCTCTCTCTCTCTTTCTCTTTCTCTCTCTCTCCTGCATTCTTTGTTGTTGTTGTTATGGGCCATCAAGTTCCATCTGACTTACGATGGCCCAAATAAGGTTTTCAAGTCACATGAAGTATTAAAAGCATCATTTTACCATTGCCAGTACCCAGGGTTTCCATGACTGGGCATGGACTTGAATCCAGGTCTCCCAAGTCTTTGTCCAGCACTCTATCCACTCTACCACTCTGGCTTTCTCTCAATTTTGTAGCTAGACCGTATTGCTAATAAAGCATTTTTCACTTGTTAGTGTTTTGCATTATATCAACCACACAGGGTATGCCACTGCTAGAGAAATGCTGTTTCCTACCTGGTTAGGAGAGGATGCTATAGGTTGGAGAGGATGCTATTTGGGGATGGCTCAGAGAGAGAAGAATACTAATGACAGCAATTATAGGACTGTGGTACTCAGCTATGGGATATGGATGACTCATGGCTTGCACGCTGTCTCCAGCTTGGAATGGTGAGGACCTAGGAGGAAGTGGCCATAGACAATTACCCTCTACTACACTAGGTATGACTTAAAGAGGGGAACTGGGTAATGAGCCTCGTGGCGCAGTGGTTAAACCGCAGTACTGCAGCCAAAACTGTGCTCACGACCCGGGATTCAATCCCAGGTTGCCAACTCAAGGTTGACTCAGCCTTCTATCCTTCCGAGGTCGGTAAAATGAGTATCCAGCTTGCTGGGGGGGGGTCAGTGTGGAGCCTGCATAATTAACTTGTAAACCATCCAGAGAGTGCTTGAAGCGCTATGGGGCAGTATATAAACAGCACGCTTTGCTTTTGCTTGTGGTTGACTCAACCTTCCATCCTTCCAAGGTCAGTGAACTTAGTACCCAATTTGCTGGGGGGTGGGGAAATATGTAACCTCATAATTTAATTGTAAACTGACCAGAGAGAGATTTATGTGCTGTGGGACAGCAAATTTTGTTTTCTCAAGATGTGCTTCCTATACCCTGCAATATCGGCAAGGTATAGCAAAAATACGCTTTTCCCTTAAAATTCAAATTTTGCCGGTGTTGAGTGGTTACTAAAGTGCTTAGAAACCAGGTTAAGTAGCATATTGAAAATGTTTGGTAAAAGGCCACATATGCCTACCGACATACAGATGGATGTACAAACACAGCCATGGACATAAACATAGACAGGAACACAGAGATAAGAAATAAATCATATCTTGCTGCAGAAAACTTCTTGGAAATAAGTTTCTTAGAATTTAATGGAACTGGGCGCCTCTAATAGACTCTGCTGACAAACTGATCACAACTTTTCACTTTCATTTTAAAATCTAAAGCCAGTTGTGTGTGTTGATTTTGTTGTTTACAAAAATGAACCAAAGAACAGAAATGTCATTCAAGAGCAAGTATAAAATCAGTGGGTTGTTCTTTATGTTCTTGGAATTGTAACAGACACTTATTTCCGGAGCTTACCCATTTCTAGTTCTGCTGGCATCAACATTTCCTTCGTCAAACAATTGCCCTGTAAATAAGATTCTTCACAAAAGCTGAAACGCTAATAAACTCCGCTGCCAACAGCAGTGACAGCATCCAGATTTTCTGGAACTTGGGAAATTGCATACCTTTTGTATCTGTCATACAATTTTTTTTCTCCTTTTTTAATGATGCGCCGAAGTAGCTAAATATGTCAATGGTTTTGGAAAAAAAATATTTACCTCAAAAGTTGCAAATCAGTTTTAAAAGAATTCATATTTTTAACAAATGCACATTTCAAACCTTCACAAGGCTTTGCCGACTTGTCAGGAGTAGCACATCATTTTGGAGACTAGGGAAGACTGTGTGTATTTCTTTCTCTGCAGTCGCTTGCTCTTCTAGTCCTTTACAAGCAGTTGAGGATCATTGATTGGGTAGCTTTGTCAGTCATAGCTTTCACAAGCTATCTGTCTACCTGAACAGAACAGTTCGTTCCAAACAAATAAATTTTAAAAAATCAGCACTGCTGAAACGTTATTACAGAGCTCCAGAAAACTTAGCTTGTCTCCAAACATTCTAAAATAATGATAATGCTGGTCTTATGGCCAATGGGCTCATTTGAGAGGCAGGAAGTTACCTCTAATTGCCTACCAACCCAGAAGAAAATGATGAGACACACCTGTCGGTTGGATTTTACTTGAGCTGTTTACAGTCGCATCCGCAGTGCAAGCCAAACATCCGGGTGGGAATGCAACAAAGCAGAAGTTATGCTGAGAATATCCCATTGCAAGGCTTTGAGATACTCTACCACTGCCACCAACACAAGCTGAATGTCTCCAGATTATACTCAGCTGGACAGCTAGAGATAGGATTCCTTTCTGACTCACGCCCCCAGGATCCAGAACTTTACATGCAGGCTTTAAGTATGGGTTAGTCTCAGAAGTAATCCTTTTCCTCACCAGCTGGTCTCACTACAAAAAAGGAGAACTCCAGGGAATTCATGCTCAGCAAAAAATTACCTCAGGGTTGTCACTGAGGAGTACATGTTTATCTCTACCCTACACCATCCTTCAGTTGAGCACCCCATTTAATCATCTCACTGACACCCCTCATTCTAGCTTCTCATTTTTGCCCTGTCTGTATATCAGTATAAAGTACCAATCCAGTGCAAATCAGGTAGCATGTAAAAGTGTTTACTTTTCCTCAAAGCAGGTGGTCCAGTCTACTCTAATAGATAGGCGGACAAAGGGTTCCAAGCGAGCTGCAAAGAGTGTTCGATGGCATGGGCTTTTATACTCCTAGATCCCATCTCTACACAACTCATGGTGTAGAGATGGGACCTATGGTGCATTTGGCTGCTTTTACCTGGCCCTGCCTCCCTCTATGGACACACATAAAGAAGTTCAAGCTAGAGACCATTGATACAGGAAACCTTTGTCTGGACTGTAGCTTCTGAGGCATATACCCACCCACCCCTTCTGGACTGTAGATATGCTTCACAGTGTGATTCCTCTCATTCTCCCTTAAATTTATGTAAAGTACCCTGTCAATTTAAATGTCAAGGGTATCTAAGGTAAAACTAGACAATGCCCTTGGCACACATTAAGAGCAGAGATTGTGCACCCTCAAGTCATGAAAGATACTAGATTGCAGGAGCATGCTAATTTCTTCACCTCCATTTCTTACATTTCACACACTTTGATTTATATTTGGTCACTGGAGAATTAACACGAAAATTTGAAAGTCCAATAGCTAAGGTATGTATCACTGAAATCATATTGTGCATAGGAGTTAAAATGAAATAATCACAGGGAATATTCATTCCCTCTGATGTCTAGTTTGATGGTTTGTTAATAATATGAGAAAGAAACCAGAAATGTTCTATAAATTATCTTGTCATTTATTTGGGGGCAAATGTTTCACTTTAAAAATGTCATGGAAAGGTTGCATCTGAACATTTGCTGGAATAATATTGACAGCGGCTCATGTACAATTCCCTTTTTAGATTATTGAACAAGAATACTTTGTTTCTACCTAACACTCCGTTTTTTATTCAACAGGTTTTACTGGTGAATTCTGTGAAACAAACATTAGTGGCTGCCTATCACAGCCTTGTGGACTTCTCAGCCTCTGTCAGGATGAATTGGATGGGTATCATTGTTTTTGTGCACCTGGTTTTATAGGTAGGCTTCACTTTAAATCAATTCATTCATATATATCTTCTGTTTCAATTCACAATTAATGATCACACAGGGGCCGCCAAATGATATGGAGCCAGTGACCACACCCAGATACAGTGTGATCTTCATTTCAGCCCACAGCCCCTCCTCCTCCCTTCCGTCACATGGTCCTCCGTCTGCCAATCCTTTTATGGTTTCCTGTTAAACCACCTGATTTTTTTTTCAAGGTTTGTACAGCATTAGAGAAAAGGCAGCAGCTTTCCAAAGTTCTTGATAGCATACACAGAAACACAGATGCATATGTAGCTGTCTGTATTTCATCAGGATTGACTCTATTTTTAGCAATGTTTTTTAAAAAATTATTTTGTGTAGAGGGGATATAGCAATACACTGCATCGATGTAACAATGCAGTGACTCAGCACTAGGTTTCTTTATACCACAATATTAAAAAATAGGAACACTTGGGGGCAAATCACAGGGTTGGGTTTCCCCTGTTCCCTAAACATGATGCCTGACTGCCTATATCACCGTAACACTACTGGAAGACAGGAAAAAGATGGTCAGAGGGGGCTGTAGGAACAGTTTTTGGAGGGGTGTATCTGTCCCCCAGTGTTTTGCTTTGCCTAATTTCCCATGAGTTGTAGTTAGAAAAAGATACTGAAAAGAACATGAACTAGGACATTTTATTTATATATATATATCCCACCCTTTTCGACAAAGTCTATTCCGGGCAGGTTCCATTAAATATTGTAAGCTAAAACTGTTAAAAACAATTCAAAACGATAGTGATTAGTAATGTTAACAATTCAAAACAATAGTGATTAGTAATGTTAGGTAGTGCTCAAAATGGGAAAACAGAAAATGATAATAAAAATAAAATCAAGTATTGACAGGAGGGAAGGCCTGCCTAAAGAACCAAGTTTTTAATTGGCTCTTAAAGACACCCAGTGAGGGAGCCAGGCGAATCATTGATGGGAGGTTATTCCAGAGCCGAGGGCTCTGTATATATAGTAGAGGTGCTTTCCGTGAGTTATTATTATTACTGCAGTCATTTAAATGTATCACCATCATAAAAGACAGAATCCCCTGCATGTAAATTAAATTAAAGACTTGTATTAGGCAAACTGCACGTGTGTTCATATTATGATTCAGTTATTCCCTGTTGTGATGTCCGAGACAATATTTCCTTCTGACTGAATTCTTCACTTATTTCCAGGTCATAATTGTGACACAGAGGTAGATGAGTGCCTGAGTGCCCCATGCCACAATGGAGCCACTTGTGTTGACCAGCTTAATGCTTTCAACTGCTTGTGTTCCAATGGATTTCAAGGTAACAGACAAACCAAATGCATGCCCCACCCATCACCATGTGTACTTTCATTTCAGAGAGTATCTTCCCATGATTAGTCTTTAAAATACCATTGAAAGGTACGGAGATGTGCAGACAAGTGAACTGACATTTATACGAATTAATATATAAGTCTCACTGGGTTAAATCACTCCTGACAAGTGTTTGTAGGATCATGTTGTTAACTTCACTCCAAGCAAGAGCTGTAGAAACATTTCATCTGTTTGCGTCTTAAAAATAGCTATGGTCCGCTAACTGTGATCGAACAGAGCCTGATCACATTTCACAGTGAAGTTGAACAGAGTTCCACCAGTCCTTGCTTAAAAGATGGCAGTACAAGCAAAATATTTATAATTTTTTAAACCTAGTTTTGGTTCAGGACTGGAATTATCAGGCCATTACTAGTCAGTCTGGGCTTGCTTTTTGCCCAATTTGAGACAGTTTGGCTCAGTACTTTTAGAATAATTTTCTGAATGAAAGAACAGCTTCGCCCTGCCCATTTCTGGCACATTATAATAAAAGACATTTGCCAGGTACTATGGTATTGACACAACAATAAGAATAATAAATTTTCAATTTGAGTTTTGGCCTTCCTATATGATAGAACTATACAACATGTAACCAATCAATCTCTGCAATCCTTTAAGCTATATCCGTCAACTTCCCAGTATTTTAATCGCCCTGTCATAGACTCATTATCGAGGTTTACCATAATATGGTCATCAGGCATTTCAGACATGTTGCCCTCCAAGCTGTCTCAGATCTTCCAGCATGTTGCAAATTTACAAAGAAGGAAGCTGCTATGGTGTTTCCTGGGGGTTATTGTCCTACTACCCTTTAGGTTCTATAGAGGGTGCCTTCCAAAGATTTAGTATTACTCTGAAGAATCTCTGTGGCAGCTTCGTTTTTTGTATATTTGCAACAGGAAGGAGGGCCTGAGACAGCCACACAGCTTCAATAGCAAGACTTTTGTAGAGATTTGCAAAATGTAGGTGTCTATAGGAGTCTGTAGGTCTATGGACTGGAACTTCCAGAATCCTGTCTGCTGAATTCTTGGAGAATTCTGGGAGTTGGAGTTTTAAAAAATGGCATACTCCTTATCCTCATATACAAGACAAGACAAGACAGGTTATGCATCCCTCTCTACAGCCTCCTACCTGTGACATTTCACTTGATTTTACTAATGCAATGCATTCTTCTATTTGATTTTCCTTTTTTAAAATTTTGGTGAGAGTTCACTTAGTGCCTTATCAAGAACAGAAGGAAGATTTCCCTTCTTGTCATGGCAAATGTAGTCTGTTATATTTCAATGTCATTTCTTTTCTCGACTCTTCTTATTGATACAAATTGATAAGGAAATTGCCTGCCTTAAATTTTGAGAATCAATTCAGTGTCAGTGAAGACGTTTTATTTTTCCTTTCTTTTTTCATTGTGATTTCTCAGAAAACAAGTATAAGAACACAAATAATAAAGCATTGTGTGGATATTACAGAGTGACAAGCTGAAAGTACAATAATGTTACTGACAGAACACATTCAGAAAAGAGCTGTTTTACATAAAAATGCAAAATATCATCATAGCTATGCTCAAATGTCTAGATCTCACAAAATATTCCCTTCTTTCTTCTCCCACCACTTTACAGGCACTCTTTGTGAAATCAATATCAATGAATGTCACTCAGACCCGTGTCTCCATAACGCCACCTGTACAGACCTTGTCAATGGATATAACTGTGCGTGCCTATCTGGCTTCACAGGTGAGTAGCATCGGTAACAATTCCCTTTTTCTGTGGAAGAGTGAGCCTCTGAGACATTCCTTAAACCAATATGGACAAATATCCTGCCATTTCTTTCCTTCTTTCTTTTTATCTGCCCTGACACAATGTTTCATTTCCATTCTCAACAAACTTTGTTTGTTGTTGTCTCACAATCCATTTAGTTCTGCAAGTTCCATTTTTGCATGAAAAGGGGGCCATTGCTATGAATATTCCTTTCTCATCTCTGGGAAAACTCAATTAAATATTAAATAGTTGTATATTCTCAGTATAATTCCTTTTTGTGGAAATATTTGATGCCTTCTCTATTGCTCTCTATTGACCTTTTCCCTAAAGTTTTCTAAAAGATAAAGTTAAAGTTTTCCCTTGACATTTAGTCCAATCGTGTCCAACTCTAGGGGGTGGTGCTCATCCCCGTTTCCAAGGCGTAGAGCCAGCATTTGTCCAAAGACAGTTTCACGTAGCCAGCACTACTAGATACGGAATACCATTACCTTTCCACTGTATTTATGTACAGTACTTGCATTTTTACATGCGTTCGAACTGTTAGGTTGGCAGGAGTTGGGACAAGCGACAGGAGCTCACTCCGTCGTGTGGATTCGATCTTATGACTGCTGGTCTTTCGACCTTGCAGCACAGAGGCTTCTGTGGTTTAACCCACAGAGCCACCACGTCCCTTGATTAAATGATCCATTAGGAAGCTGAATCAAGCCACTGTCCGCCAAGCCCAGTATTATCAACTCTGGTTCCTTTACTAGCCCTACCTGGTTATTTCCAGTATTTTTTTATGTTTCCCACCCATATACTAACCAGGCTTGACCTTGTTCAGCTTCTGAAATCAGATAATACTGGGGTTTTTAGGACAATTTGGTGGTTCAGAAACAGATGCTTGGCTATTGTGCTTTTCAGAAAATGGGCTGGTGTCTGAATGAGCTCTGTTGTACAATCAGTACTCTGTATATCAGAGGAGGTGGGGGTGAGGGGTGAGGGGGGAAGACTGCAGAGAAAAATGCCATCATGGAACATCTGTCTAAATCAAGAAGATAAGGACCATGTGTATATTAATGTCAGAAACTGAATTTCACCTACATTCTCCTCATTCATTCATTCATTCATTCATTCATTCATTCATTCATTTATTGAATTTATATCCCACCCACCTAGTCGACTGACTACTCTGGGCGGCTAACAACATATAATATAAACAATTTAAAATATAGAAACAAAGTAACACATCAATAGACAGTGCTCAAGATGGAAGAAAAAAGTAAATCAAGCGGTGGCTGGAGGGAAGGCTTGCCTAAACAGCCAGGTTTTCCTCAGTCACTTAACATACGTTAAAAAAAAGTTTATTCCCTGAATAAGGAAAAGTAGTCTACAGACATGTATAGGGAGTCACAAATCTCTAAGAAAAGCAATAAGGGAATATATTCCTTGTGATAGAGTGTGAGAAAGTTTCCAATATTAATTTATTCAACATCCTTCTTTTCTTGATTTAGACAAATGTCCCATCATAAACTGGATCTGAAATCTTGAGCTAACAATTTTCAATTGGCACCAGCTTATCTTACTAAATTGTGGCATCTTCAATTATCTTTTCAAAGGTACGCACTGTGAAACTGATATAGATGAGTGTGCGTCTTTTCCCTGCAATAATGGAGGCACCTGCATTGACCGGCCTGGTAATTACTACTGCCAGTGTGTGGCTCCATTTAAAGGTAATGAACACCAAGGGAGAAGGGAGAGTAAACATAATTAACTTTAGAAAGCATTTCTGTCACTTGTCTGAACTCATTTCACTCTTTGAGGCAGGATTATTAGGCCTTTATTTTCTCAAAGTGGGCTTCAAAAAGTGACCAGCCAATTATTTCATAGGCTGTGACTAATGTGAAAGAAACTTTGTTTATTCATCTACTGAAATGCTTTAGCTATTTATTAGAAGAGGCACAAACAAATGTACCAGGAGTAAAAGAATAATTATGGAGCCCATGGCTTTGCAGAGGAACAAAAAACAAAACAAAACAAAACATACCCTTTTCAACCTGATTCATTCAGAGGTGAAATTCAGAATCATCCATTCTCTGCTTTATCGATGTATATCACTACACTGGGAGAAATTCAACAGTAAGTTGCAGCTAGAGTAGATCCATGGAATCAATGGGGATTTGGTAAGTCAACACCTATCAAAACTCCATTGATTTAAAGGTTTACTCTTCTTGCATCTTACTACTGTACTTCAGCCCCTTTGTTGCTTATTATAAGATATGTATATAAAGAGTAAAACTTCTGATCATTAGACAGATTTGATCTTTTGAAATTATTCCAGTTACTATTCACTTACTCTGGACTAGTGTTGATGTGAGCAATGTTATTGATCCAAGAAAAAAAAATTATAGTGCATGCTTGAACTAATTTTTAAGGTGGTTAACAAATAACAAAATATATGAACTGGACTGGATCCAATTTATGTTAGTTGGATTTGGATAAATAACCACTTTTTCACATGAACTAGAAGAGGTATTAAGAGTGAAAAACTTAAGTTTAAACATCCTCAATATATTTACCTGGAGAGAGAAAGAGAGAGAGACAGGCAGGCAGACAGGCAGGCAGAGAACAATGATATAGCAATGCCATTATATAAAGCAATGGCTCCCAACCTTGGGTTCTCAGATGTTCTTCAACTAAAACTCTCAGAAGCCTTCAGCACTAGCTGTGCTATCCAGGATTTCTGGGAGTTGTACTCCAGGAGCATCTGGGGACAGTCCCAAGGTTGGGAACCACTGATGTAACATATGGTGGGCCTCTAGGTAGTTATGGAAACTTTTATATTAGGGATATACAATGGCTTTGGAGAAAAGTGTTCAAACAGGGTCGTGCAGGGAAATTTGTGTGATTCCAGATCTGCTACAGGGTTGCTCAAGATGCCTCAAGTCAAGAGCGGGTTGGTACAAATCATTAAAGTTTGGTCCAACATTTTTGGGGACAGTTGTTTGGGAAGAAATACTTGGGGCCAGCTGTTATAGCAAAGGAAGCAAGTGCCAAAATGGAAGGAGACTGGTAGATGATGTCTCAATGAAAGCCAAAAGCTCTCCTGGACAACCCATTTGCTGAGACCCTAGGTGGGCTCAGACCAGTTTCATTGGACTCTATGTTTTTCCATCCACTCAACCAAGCAACCATTTTAATCCAGGCACGGCAAATGCTTACTAGACATTACACCATTTTCTTTCCTTTTTCTTTTAGGTAGCTACACTGAAAAAATTCTGAAAAAGCACCATCGGAGTACTGGTGGGGGTCCCCTGCAACCGTGATTTCCGCTTTCAGAAGTCCCCCAGCAGTCCTCCGATGGTGCTGGGCAAGCCTCTGAGCTTGCTGAGCTCAATATCACAAAGGTTTGTATTACATATGCTAGAAAATGGCCCGACAGCAAAAGTGTTGAGTGCTCCTGACCAGAATTCAAGCAATGCCTTCGAATGATATTCCATTCTATTCCTCTCTCCACAGTTTGTCAGTAGTCAAACATGGCCAATGAGCATGCTCACTCCCTTTTGGCTTCCCTGCTGACACCTCCTTCCTATGTGTGGATGCTCCTGTTTTGACTAGATAAGAACCCAGTTTCGGATAATGAGTTCATTGTTAGATGGAACATTTATTCTTGTTGATGCTAAATAAAGCGTTGCCTTCAGTTATCTCCAGTGTTGCTCTTTGTACTTTCTGGAATGTGAGGACAATCCCATAGTTTCAGGGTTGCCCTTTGTCTGTTCAAGAACATAACAAGTCAACACCATTTCTTCGGGCAGTGGCCTCTTCAAAAGAGTAGGAGTGTGTGTGTCAGATAACTGTTGATGTTGTGATGTAAATGTTACTTTTTCAGTTGTCAGTGGTCTCCACCCTGTATCTAAATATTGAATATGGACCCTGGATGTTTGTCCACCACAGAATCACAATAGGAATGTTTATGTTTTGACCCTCAAGGCTACACGTTATGCACTCATCAGGAGATGAAAAAAGTAGGCACAGAGAGATACATAAAGAGTGCAGAGCTGTCACCTCCTTTAATTTTGAGAACAAGAAGAAAAGGGATTATTACTTGTTTCATACCCAGTGACTACCTAATTGAGCCATGCAGGTTTTCCAAGTACTTCCTTTAGGGACAATTAGCTTTTCTCACTCTTGATACAAGCCACTAACCTTTGTTTCAATCTCTTCATTCCCCCCGCCCCATCCAATTCATTATTTGCTTGTTTTCCAGCAATATCTAAAAGTTATCTCAAGTTACCTTGTCGTACAAGTCTTTCTTTGTATTACTTTTGTTCACAATATTTTTGATACCTCCTGTCTCCAGTTTCCTGCAGCATAGATTCATCAGCTTTCTGTCTGGCCACTCTTACTTTTCCCCAAAGCTCCAAATGAATTCCTTTTTTTTACCACTAGATATTCCCTTCCTGACAACTGGCATTTTCATTTTCCAGAGGATCAGTTCAGTTTTCCCCCAGCAGGTAGGCTTCACACATAATAGGCCCCAGGAGTCAGCACTCACCTCATTATCCTCTACCCCTGCAGACAGAGCCTTTAGTTTCTACTGGGACTTAGAGACATAAACACCCCTTTATGTAGTGTAGCCCCAGTTTCTGCAAATCCAGTGATCTACAGAGGCATGCGAAGTATACATGCTTCAGTCCTTGGGAGTGTCTTTATCCTAGAGGCGCAAGGAAGGAAACAGAGATGTACCTGCCAAAATAAGTGAGATCTTCACCTGGAAAGAGTGACTATCAGTGCTGAGGTTCTGATCAGTTGCCTGCATAAGCTATTTTACACATGAGGCAATGTGGCCAGATCACCACAATGCCTCAGCTGGGTTTAAAATGAACATGAAATATAGAGAAAGCATGAAACTAAATACATTACTAATGTACCATCTGAATTCTGCACAGTTGGACTGTGACAATTGGGAAGTATACATTTCCTAAATATGGAGCAGCTGATCATCTGTATAACACTGTTATCTATTTTATTAGCCATTCAGTTTTCAGAAAGCAGATGGTGGTATGTGGCATGTTCATGGCTGGCTATAGACTAGCTCATCATTATTTAACATTTTAGAACTGCCATGCAGTTGTGTGATTTCAAATGATACTTGTTTACATACTTTCATGGAGGAAGAGAGAGAGATTACTATTCTTTAATCTCAACTGCCTCAAGACTGAGTCAACATTTTAGCTGTACTTTATTGAAAAGGTAAGGGTTCTTGCAGCCCTAATGACACTTTTCACAAATATACAAAATTAATATTCGAGCTGGAATCTAATTGACCATTAAACATTTTGTGGACAGAATAAAAGGTAAGTCAGCATGAACAGCTCCGGGTGGGGGTGGGGAAACTACAGTAACAATGGGATTTTTAGTGTAAGGCACTATTATCAGTAGTGGTTAAGTGCAAATCAGATTATAAGTAAAAGGATTTAAACCCTTACAAAGGAGACAAGTGAAGAAAGTACAGCTAATGGAGCAAATGAACAATGAATTTTCAGTGATCACAGGTTACATGTTTTATAGTGTGGCTCAGAGGAGAGTTACAGCTATTAGAAGACCAATCGCTGTCAGATCTGGGACTCTGCTGAAATATGAAAGCAATAGTTCCCAATTTAAAAGACTTTATCCCTGGCTGTTGGCTGGTCTGACATAGCATCACTGAATGATTCTGTTAAATCTGTGCAGTTGTAGAAACTCCTGTAGATCTTCAGTATGATGTCACTTGTGTTGTACTGCTGAGGTTTGGAGATAATGAGGCCTGATTGGACCGGGACAGACATGCTAAAATCTGCTCACAGGATTTTTATTATCTGTTTGATTATCTTCTTTTTGGCTGTTGTAGAATAGTTCTCCCAAGCTGGAAGAGAAGAGATAAAGGCAAAATTAATGACAGAAGCTGAGGAACTGATACATTGACCTCAGTTTGAGCTCTCCCTAGTGCCTCAGTGATTGGACTGTGCAATGGAGATCTTAAGCTTTTGGGGCGTTGGGTTTCAGCTGATGCTGCCTTCTCTTTTGGTTTTAGAAGTTCAGTCTTTCTGATCTCCTGAGTTCAAATTGTTGAGCCTCTTTGACTAATGCTGGATGGAAAATGGGGTGACCTGCAGCAGTTTGTGATCCACATTGAGGTCACTCTGGAAATACACAAATACCTCAGTGCATTTTTGCACATCTGCTCAAAGTGGTGCCTGTTTCTAACAGAAGTGCCACTGAGTCATTACTTATTGTTTCTCAACAGCTGAGAGAATTGTGCCTAGCCCATCCCCTCCCTGTTGTCACTTCCCTTACATATGGAGAGCAACATGCCCAAAAGTGACAGGTGCTCACCATCATTCCCCATTATACCAACTGGTTCTTACAAGAAATAGTGTTTTATGCAGAAAGATATGTGAAGTAATTTTAGGGTCCCTCATGTTCCTCATTTCCTACTGGATGCTAGAAATTTTCAAAGTCTATTGCTCTTTACTAAAGATATAATATGAAGAAATTTCAGGCTATCATGATTTGACTTTGGAAAGTTTTATTTCTTGGAAATAATGAACTCACATCTGTTCTTTTCAGAACTTTATGCAGGTATGGCATTCCATTACTCTTTTTTCTAGCATGATGTCAAAGAACACGTATCATCTTTTGAGTTGGCATGACTGCATGGCTTCATTAATGTTATTGATTTGTGACTATTCTAGGTGTGTTTTGAAGTTGCTAGTGCTTCCCTCTCTCCCACCCCATTTCTGGCTTTTGTTTATAGTTGCCTTTTTGCTTTTGTTCTTTGGAGCAGGAATGGTGGCTAAAAGGAAACAATATCTTTTAATACCTGTCATGAAACATTGCAAAGTCACACTTTTCATGAAATATTTAATGAAACCTTCTCAAAAAAAAAAAATTCTTGCTACTGGATAAACTTTTGAAAATTTAATATGTGAGAGACACATTAAGATTCACATCTGATATTCTAGAGCATCATGTATCCATCTGAAGCCACTGAGTTACACACGCACACACATGCATACACACACACATACGCACAAACACAAAGTGCAATTATAGAGTATATATTCTATAAGCTTTCTGCATAACCCCCTCCAGTAATTCAACACTACTTCAAGCTTCTGTATGCAACATCTTTTAAGCACCTCTACCCTCAGGGATTTGTATAGCAATGGGTGAAACTGTTCACCTGGCTGATGCAACTGATGAAAAGCTTAAAAGCAGCATCTAAAAAGAGGCATCAGAAACCATGGGCAGAGTCATCCTAAGGGAACAAGGGAAGGATCTCTGATATGGGAACTATCAAATCCGAAGTCCTGCCACGTTGTGCCAATTTAGGTGGAAATGGGGGTAGGTAGGCTTCTGCATTCCCACTGACACCATTAGTTTTGCCCCCTTGTTGGAGGAAAGGCTCCTGTTGGGGGGAAGGAGGAAACTCTGGATTCTGCTGTTCCGTTATTTTCCCCAGTTGGCCTGACCTACCTTTGAATCAGTGGCATGTAGCAAGTCTGCCATGCTGGAGCTTTCTGTCAAAGCCTTCAGCACTTCATTAGATGCAGAACTGCTGTTCTGTAGATAGAGCAGCACTTTCACTGGACCCTGTGGTTCATTTGAGGCCAGCTGATGGTCTGTAGGATTGCAGCCTCAACCAAGAGAATAAAAGGACATTTCTAGGGATTGGGCGGATAAGTTATAAAATAAGGCCTGAATTCAGTGTTATTATTCCATTGGCAAAATTGCTTCCACCAGCAGAAGAGGGAGCACTCCCGCTTGGAGCCTTCCATACATCCTTAGATTTTGCTTCAGAGGGCTGGGAAATTCTCCAGGATGGATTTCCAAGTGGCATGATAGGATGCTTGGGTGGGAAAAGGAAAGAAGGAAAAACACTAATTGTACTAGTGGATCTTCGTTAGCCTAAAAAAAACAATGGACATTCTAGTTTGAACATGTTCCTCCAGTATCCTTGAGCTGTGATGTTAGTAATGCATTGCCGAAAGCCCATTATTTGGTGCTATTAGGCTATGTTGAACTTGATTAGAAATTATGGCATAGGTTTATTAGGTAAAGGTAAAGGTTCCCCTTGACATTTAGTCCAGTTGTGTCCAACTCTAGGGGGTGGTGCTCATCCCCCAGGGGGTGGTGCTCATCCCCGTCTCCTAGCTGTAAAGCCAGCGTTTGTCTGTAGACAGTTTCCGTGGTCACGTGGCCAGCGCAACTAGACACAGAACGTCATTACCTTCCCACTGTGGTGGTACCTATTTATCTACTTGCATTTACGTGCTTTCGACCTGCTAGGTTGGCAGGAGCTGGGACAAGCGACAGGAGCCCACTCCATCGCGTGGATTCGATCTTACAACTGGTGGTCTTCTGCCCTTGCAGCACAAAGGCTTCTGTGGTTTAACCCGCAGCACCACCACATCCCCCTAGGTTTCTTACATGGCTGCAAAACAGAAATAATTATGATAATTTGTTTTAGAATATCTGAGAAATCCATCTTTGGTAGACACCTGTTATACAAATCAAGACCTTCTCTTGTGACAGTTGTATAGTCTCGACTGCATGTTGCATTAGCCTATATTTT